ACCTACCATTTGAATTAATGTGCGATGCCAGTGATTTTACTGTTGGAGCCGTATTGGGACAACGAAGAAATAAGATATTTCACATGATATACTATGCAAGTAAGACCTTGAACGACACACAATTAAACTATGCCACTACAAAGAAAGAGCTCCTTGCCATAGTCTATGCCTTTGACAAATTTCAATCATATCTTGTGGGGTTAAAGGTCATCGTTTACACAGATCACCCTGCCATCAAGTACTTAATGGAAAAGAAAGATGCCAAGCCATGTCTCATTCGTTGGATACTGCTACTTCAAGAGTTTGATCTGGAAATCAGGGATAAGAAAGGTAGTGAAAACGTGGTAGCAGACCACTTGTCTCGATTAGAGACCACAAAGCAGAGAGAGACCGTGGAAATCAACGAAGTCTTCCCAGATGAACAGATTTTCAATGAGGGGAAGGCACCCTAGTATGCTGACATAGTTAACTACTTAGACAGGTCTATCATTCCACCAGATTACTCAAGTCACCAGAAAAAGAAATTTTTCGCTGAGTTGAAGTATTATTTTTGGGAGGATCGCATTCTATACAGGCGAGAAGCTGATCAAATCATTCATCATTCCATACCTGAGGAAGAAGTGCCCTTAATACTAGAACATTGTCATTCATCTACATACGCAGGACATTTTGGTGCTTCAAAAATAGCGGCGAAGATCCTTTAATCAGGTTTTTACTGGCCTACGCTGTTTAAGGATGCTTTTGAATTCGTGAAAAGATGTGACTGATGTCAACGCACCGATAATATATCCAGGAGAAACGAAATGCCTTTGAATAGCATCTTGGAGGTGGAACTATTTGACATCTGGGGGATCGACTTCATGGGGCCATTTCCCCCATCGTTCTCTAAGTAGTACATGTTAGTGGCTGTGGATTACGTATCGAAGTGGGTAGAGGCTGTTGCATTGCCTACCAATGATGGAAAGGTGGTGATTGATTTTCTAAAGAAAAATATTTTCACTCGCTTTGGCACACCGAGAGCTATAATCAGTGACGGGAGTGAATATTTCTGCAATCGCCAATTTGAACAGTTGCTGACTAAATATGATGTTAAACATCGTGTAGCCACTGCATATCATCCTCAAACCAGCGGATAGGTTGAAGTGTCCAATAGGCAATTAAAGCGAATACTTGAAGTCACAGTAAGCTCTTCACGCAAAGATTGGTCTAAGAAGCTGGACGACGCCTTGTGGGCCTATAGGACTGCATTCAAGACTCCTATAGGGATGTCACCATATCGACTGGTTTTCGGGAAGGCATGTCACTTACCTCTTGAGATAGAACACCACGCTTATTGGGTAATGAAGAAATTGAATTTGGACTTGAAGGCTGCGAGTGAAAAACGTCTACTACAACTTAATGAGTTGGATGAGCTCAGAATAGAGGCCTATGATAATTCAAGACTCTACAAAGAATGCACCAAGAAGTGGCATGATATGCATATTCAGAGGCGTGAATTTATAGTGGGGCAAAAAGTGTTACTCTACAACTATAGGCTTAAGCTATTGCCAGGAAAGCTGCGATCGAGATGGCCTGGACCCTATACTATTACACAGGTATTTCCTCATGGAACAGTTGAGATCACTCATGATAGTAAGGGGACATTTAAGGTTAATGGACAGCGTTTAAAGCACTATTGGAGCGGTGATTTCTCAAAGGAAAAGTCTACCGTTCATCTTAGACCACCAGAATGACACAATACGGTAAAGTCGAGCTATCGACTATAACCTAGCGCTGGGTGGGAGGTAACCCACTGTATCCTTTTAAATTTTATTTATTTTGCTTTTTGCGTCAATTTAGGAATTGTTCAATTTCATTTTCAAAAACTATTTTTTTTATTTAGGTCATTGATCATCCATACATGTTAAAAGAATCCAAGCACTGTCCACACGAGTCCCTACACATCACACACGAGTTCGGGTTGGTTGGAGTTATTTTTAGTATTTGGGGGGTGTAGTTCATGTATTTCGAGACAAACGTTTATTTTCAAAATTTCAAATGTCAATGCATGATTCTTTTTTTTTAGCAGGGTCAAAAAAAAAAATTGGATCATGCGGTCGCACTGTGCGACCGTACAATCATCATCCGGGATTCAAATGGCCAAGACCACTTGAACCATGCGACCGCACGGCTTAAAGCCATGCGGCTGCATGGCAGAATCTGGCATGGGACTTTAACTCACGCTCGGTTCATCCTTCACACTATCAATTTTTTTACTCTCCTCTTGAGCACAAGGCGAATTTTACAACAAATTCACTACACAAAAAAGACACCCATTTGCAATCCCCAAATCTTCACCCCGTGCATCAACCACCATTAGACGTGGGCGCGGCTCAGTTAAAGGAACCAAAATTTTTGGGTATCTAGTAAATGGAATCGTTGGGCCCAAATATAATTATGGAACCGTTCGGGTTCGATTCCGTTCGGTTCAGTTCGGTTTGGTTCCGTACTATAATTAAATTTTTTAACATTTATAACAACATTATATAAATACAACTAATGACACATTCAATGATTTTGAAATGTCAGAGACTAGTAGATTACCTTGTTCTAATGATCGCTACGGTCAAAGCTTCGATCGACGGAGGTTACAGCTTCAATTGGAGGTCATAGTGTCGACCGGCGATTGTATAGGTTTTGGAATATCAGCGAGGCTGCGAGAGTCGAGACAACGTTATGCACTTTAGTGTAGGTATTTAGGGTTATTTAGTGGGTTGGATATTTGTTGGGCTAAGAAATGAAACAATAAAATGGGTAATTGGGCTAAAAATTAAAAAATTAGAAATGAAACAAATTATTGGGCCAAAAATTTTGGATTTAGAAATTGTTAATTTGTTTAAAAAATTTTAAATTAAAATAATTTGATTTATTGAATATAAAAAAAATTAGAAAGATTCGGTTCTTTGGTTCTTGGTCTAGAACCAAGAACCGAACCGTACCTGTCGGTTCTCAATTCAAATACCTGTTCGAGTATTTAACTTTACAAGATCTGTCGAGTTTGGTTTAGTTCGGTTCGAATTCGATTCAGTCGGTTCGGTTCGGGAGATTTGCCCAGCCCTAACCACCATACTCACAAAACAAGGTAATTTTCTTCCCTCCCTCTCGGTTCCTTCATTTGGTAATTTATGGTTTCCTATTTCAACTTTGATGAAATTATGGGAGAATGGGCAATAGGTAATCAATGGTTTGCGTGTATGAACTTGGGTTGTGTTATGAATTGGTGGCACGTTCAACTTTTGGTATTCGCTATGGTTCACACGGAATGCATGCTACATATTCGATGAATTGCCTACATGAAGTTTGTCATGCATATTGTAAATTCCCGCATTTGATACTCTGACTATATGAATTAACCTACACATTGTGATCCAATGCTATCGAGATTGAGCTCGAAACACGCACTCACCAACCACACACATGTAGGCACACATGTTAGGTTCACGTCACTTCACCGCACCCATTTCGTCCCTTGCGTTAAGTACCCGTACGACATCCAATGGGCATGACATTTGGATATGTGCCACTCCACACTACATACTTTCATATGTCCAGAGGTTGCTTGGGAAGAATTCGATTTTTCTTGATGATGTCCGGGGGCGAAAATGCACACTTGATCATGGGTCACTTGACACATTTTGGATGTTTGGAGCTCCGTTTGTGTGTATATTGTTATTTTGCCTTTCGTATACATCCTCAAGCATATTTTCTTGAAGTTTACATATACCACATTCATAAACACATGAAAGGCCATCAAATCCATTTTGCAACACGTAGGCATATGGCTAGGTCATGGCATGTCACAGCACCCTACGTCCCCTACTTTACACCATTACTTGACATACCAAATGAAGTCCAATTGAATTGAAATTTGAGTATAGGGTAGACCTCATTTAATACTTTCATATGCCCAGAGATTTCTCAGGGAAATTTTGATATTTTTTGATGATGTCCAGGGCCAAACTTGCCACTCGATCATGGTTCCATTTTTTTCAAATGTGCATGTTTAGACTAATTCTCTTAGTTTTTCATATAAGCACACTATTTACACAATCTTGAATATCGTATTTTGAAGTTTGCACACCAATGAGTTATTTATGCATGTTGAAGCAAGTTGGGGGATTTGTGACATTATTGCCTTGCTATTCTCATTCCCTCTCTCGTTTTTCAAAAAGAAGTTCAATGACTCCTATGTGTACAAACCTTGTAGGATGCCTCCTAAGAGAACTTTGAACGGGAAGGA